GACTTCATCTTTCATGCTTGGGACATATTGTCAGGAGGGACCAGTAACTGGAGAAGGATATCATGTTTGGTAAAGTGGAAGGTCAGAGAAAAAGAGGAAGACCCCTATAATGAGATGGCTTGGCACAGTAGCAGCATCAAAGGGCTCAAATGTAGCAACAATGGTGAGATTGACCCAGGCCTGGGCAGCGTTACATTCTGTTGTGCATAGTCAGTACTGACTAAACAGCACCTAACAACAGTTATATAGTTGGAATCCTTTGGTGACACCAACAGTTAACCTGCTCAGCTGCTACCTAACAGGGTGGAGGTTTGCATTCACCCCAAGGTACCTCAGAAGAAAAGCCTGGTGATTTACTTCCAAAGAAACAGCCACTAAAAGCCCTAGGAAACACAGTTCAACCCTAAAAAACCTTGGGTTACCACAAATAGGAATAAATTTAACAGCAACTCATTTCTGTAAATGTGTTAAACAATGTCCATACTAATTTAAGTGCATAACAAGCTTAGGAAGAAATTCAAAGACAGAGATTGCTGTATATTCAGCTCCTTTTAGGTCAGTGCCCAATGCTTAGTGAAGCCACCAAAGGTAAAATAAACACTGTATTGTTTTTTATCATTGAATTTATTATTTAAATTAATTATTGAAATTGAGAAGACAAATTCTCTACAAGCAGTTCTTGCTGGGTTAATGGCTAATTGTTGCTTCCTTCCCAGAAAGCAAAAGTTCTAAGTATTGCCCCAAGCCAACCAAGCTAATGTTCAGCAGAATTATATAATCGTCATTTCTTTTAGGAACTAGGGATTTTAGTTGGTGTTTAAAATTTCTTTGTAGTTTCCTATACATCTATAAATATCACAGCCTATTAAACTGAAAATCAACATCATTACTATAATTAAAAGAGAAAAAAAAAAAAAAGTCCTTGAGTTACCTGCATGTTGTTCTTCAATCCAGATTTGCAAATACATGAAGAGTAGCAGCCCTGCAACTCCAAATATCAGCACAGAGAGGAAGACTTGTTTGGGGTTCATGACCATTTCAGATTGCTGCATTTCTTCCCATTTCTGAAGACCACATGATTTGTTTTCTCATAAACTTTCACGTTTTTCTGAAGTACCTATCCAGAAATTCACCTAGAATGAAAACCAAAGTCCACATTGTACCTTTAATGACATTTCTTCCCAAATATTGTATAAATGTATGCAGCTTATGTAACAATACTGAAAACTTACATGAACTGTAAAGATGTTGAAGACAACAAGATGGTAGAAAATGTCCCTAAAATGTCACTTTTCCTTTGTATCCTTGTTTTTCGTCTTCTCCTTCATCTACAGTCCTGTTTATTCATGATCTAACTTTCCCATGAAGATGAAGCCATTGAAAATACCATGACTTGGGTCAGATACACCTGACAGTCTAGTATATTTGCTCTTTAACACTTTAAGTCTGTCTTTTTTTAAAGTGTTTATTGTGAACTGGGTGATAGTTTTACATGGAAAAACATCGATTTTACAGTCATCATTTCATTGCAATAATTACAATCTTCTCCATGCATCATCATTCAACAGTATTTGCTTCTATTCCCCCCTTTTGGGAAGGTGTACACAAAAATACTCAGGAATATATAATCATTTAAACAATCAAAAAGCACATTCTCCAAGCGTGCCTCATGGCTGCCAGCACACAGCCTTTATCTTTCCATGTCCCTATCTCTTCCTCCACCTCTGTCACTGCTTCTCTGGAGAGGGTCTCACATTCTGCTCCTGGTCCTCTCCCTTGATGTTCCTAGGGTCCTCTGTTTCTTAACTAAAAGATTAACTACTCCCCCCTCTTTTTGTTACAAAACTTCTAAGTTTACAGGTTTGAAAGTTACAATTAGTCATGGTAACAATTACTCACTATTGAATCATAAGAATCTCATCCCCATCTCCTTTCACCAGACCTGTCTAGACAAGAGGAAACTATTCAGTGGGGATTCTACCTTCCCCCATACACTCTGAAACTAAACTACCTCTTGAAAACTTGTAAGACAGTCACTTGGTGCCTTTCTGGTCCCATCATTTTAGGTAGCCAATGTCTAAAGTGCCTGTCCCTATCAACACTGTTTACAGAGGGGATAGGATTGATACTTAATGTGAGGACTTCTTCCCTCTCAGTTGATATTTTGACCTACTAAATCCATAAGTGTAGGTCAAGTTCATCAAATTGTAGCAATTTACACTTGTTTCTTTTATTAAAATTTGTTTTTTTATCTTCCTCTAGTTGAGTTCTGATCATCAAGCCATGGAAGCTAGGTTGAATGAGTACTATCTACAAGTTTGGGCATTCTGTGCATCTCTCTTCACTTCATATCAGCTGGATGCTTCACTGTCCACTCTAGCCCTCCAATGCTATGTCCTTGTCCATGAGCTCAGGAGTCCCAAGGTCTCACTACCCTTCAGATCAACCAGCCCTTCCTCTTCTCTTTCACATCTCTAGGTCGATGGGAGCCTATGGAACATGGTTGAACTCAGCTCTTATCTTTCTTGTTGACTTTCCCTCTCTTCTACTCATCAGTAGACCAACGTGGTCACCAGCAATTATACATGTCTGCCCATGTATTCCCTTTGAGTTTCAGTCTTGGAGGGGGTTTATCCTGAAGGGATTTGATTGCTTGCATTGATCCTTTGTATCCTTTTGTCTTATATAAGAGATGTATTAAAGAGTCCTGATGGCACAAATGATTAAGCTCTTGTTAAAGTGAGCCGGGAGGTTGGTGGTTCAAGCCCACCCAATGGTTTCTACCCAATGGATTAGCAAGATAAAGACAGTTCCATCTGCTTTTGTAGAGATTAATCCAAAGCCAAATGCACTGTCATTGAATCAATTCCAACTTACAGATGCCCTGTACAGTGTTTCTGAGCCTGTAAATCTTTATAGGAGCAGAAACCCCCATCTTTCTCCTGTGGAGCTGATGCGTTTGAACTACTGATTTTGCAGTTAGCTAGAAAATCCTCTTGGGCCATTCTACTCTGTCACATGGGGTTGCTATGAGTTGGAATGGACTCATTTGTGCCCAGCAACAAAGGATGCATATGTTATCTTATAGTTCATCATTAACACTTTAACAATTAGGTGAAAGATGACCAGACTTAAGCCTTCCTATATTGTAAACAAATATCAAGATTGGGTTTACTTTAAAACAAGAGAAAGAAAACCAACACAATATATGAGAAACAGGTTTTGAAAACATGTTCATATAATATGTGAAAACTATTTCGTTTCTTAAAAATGTATAAAGCTCAAAAATGGAGGATGTAATCTACCATCTTCCTCTTAGGTAAAAGTAGCAGCTATCTACAAAGGCATACAAAAATCACCGGAAGGCATACAAGAAAAAATAATGCAGAACTGAAAAACAGGAGCCCTCCCAGAATAACATGGAATTACAGAAATCAACCTCAGACTCCTGTGGGATAAAGATGAGTCTTTCTGTTCCCATAAAGATTTACAGCCTTGGAAACCCTGTTCAGGGTCGCTATGAGTTGGAACTGACTCCATGGCCCATAACCACCACCACCACCTCAGACGCCCGGGAAGGTTACTTTTTAAAAAAGAAATACTAAAATCACTGTTTTAGAATGACCTCATTTAATGTAAGTACAACCTTTTTTTAAAGTTGCACCCATTTTTTTAGAATCTGATAAAAATGCAGAGCCCCTCCTTAAAAAAATATGAACACAGACAAAGTTTCAAATACAATATCGGGATGTTTCTGCAGGCCAAGTCTGCCCCACTACCTATTTTTGTGGATAAAGTTTTATTAGAGCATAGGCTGAGGTTCAGAATCCATGTTCCCAATGAGCTGTAGTGAAGTGGTGGGCTCAGTGGACAGCAGTCCAGACAATGAGGCTGAATGACTCATTCAGAGCATGACTGACTCTAATGCTGGCAGGACACTGTACATGGACACAGACAACGTCCCCTTTTTGGTGACCTGAATTAAGGGTCTCCTCAAGCAAGCACATCACACACACACATTGCTGTGCCAAAAATTAGCTCTTTTTTTTTCTCACACAAATATGCTTCTAACAATTTTGGGAGAATATTGATTTAGCTTTTTACAGAGGAGTTTGGTAAAGTGCCAGTTAAAAATTAAAAATCGCTGTGGAAAATCGCTAGCCTGGATAAAGGATAATATTTAGCTTTTCTTGAAAAACCAATTTTCCACAAATGTTGGGTTTCAAAGGTCACCTAAAAGGACAGAATTAGAAATGAATATATTAAACTTGATTTTAAAAAAATGTTCTCAAATAGTTAAACGTTTTTATGCAGAGCAAACACACCACCCAAAAGTCATATTCTACTTTTTTTTCTATGATGTTGTTGTTAAGTGTCGTCGAGTCAGTTTCAACTCATAGCAACCCTGTATAGGGTTTCCGAGGAGTGGCTGGTGAGATTAACCTGCTGACTGTGGTTCAAACCAACCTTATGGTCTAGTGCTTTATCCTACAGAACCACACCAGAATTCCACTGGAAGGGACTAGAGTAAGAGCAATCTTTTTCAGGACCACCTGAGGCACTTCCTCAAAATCCACCTTTTCTGAGCCCCTCAAGGAAGGAACAAATGCTAACATTTCTTGGGCATTTCTAAAGATTCCATGCATGTCTTCAACTTTGGTAGCATTCCAGAAGATTGTTTTTAAAAAAGGACTGAGAGAAGTATGCACTAAGTAGGGGTTCAGTAAGATTTAAAAAAAAAAGGACTGACAGATTATTATCATACTGCCTATTACAGGGGTCCCCTTATGGTGCAAATGGTTAAACCCTGGACTACTAACTAAAAGGCTGATGGCTTGAATCTGTTCAGAGGTTCCTCAAAAGAAAGTTCTGTTGATGTATTTTCAAAATGTCAGTCATTAAAAACCCTACAGAGCACTGTTCTACTCTGACACACATGAGGTCACCATGAGTTAGAATTTATTCAAAAGCAACTGATTTATTTGTTTATTGAAAGATAATATTTAAGGAGGCCTGGTAGCATAATGGATTATAATCTAGCTGCTAACCGCAAAATCAGCAGTTCAAATCTACCGGCTGCTTTCGGCTCCTGTAAAGATTTACAGCCTCGGAAACCCTACACAGGGTCATTATGAATTGGAACAGACTCAATGGCACAGAATCACCACCAGGATAATATTTTGCTCTTATATTAAATAAAAATGAAAATATTACTGGCTTTTCAAACACATACAGCAAAGAATGAGTCCCAAGGGAGACTGGCTACATGAGGTATTTAAAGACTGACTCCCTCAAGGAATCAATGAAAAGAAACCAGTTTTTTGTTCTCTTGATGCTGCCATTAAACAAAAGACAGACACAGTTTCTGGGTACATAAGAAGACTCAGCTAAGCAAAATCTACTATTAACAAAGAAATAGTTGTTTACAAGAAGAAAAAGACTTTTACAATCTGTCTACATAATTAAAACTTAATCTCAGAAGAAAGAAGATAGAAGAAAACTTATAAATCAGCATAGAGCTATGAACCTGTGGGAATGGTGGGTGCAAGAGCCCAAAGAAGTATTCCTTGGGGGAGGTTTACAGAGGAAAATTATTACCTATGATGCTGGAAAAAGATTAAGAATTTGCCCTTCCTTTCTTCGGGAGCTGTTGCTGTATTCTAACATATTCTCCTGGGTGAGAAGGCAGAAGAAAACCCATAATTGTTATTATGGCAGATGTGAGTAGGATTGAGTGATTAAAGCCACAAGGCAGAAAGGCAATCTGGTGTAAAACAGAGAGATACGTTTGATTTTCTCCCATCTCAGTCCATTAACCCAAAGTTGGCATTAGGAAATGGCTCTCATTAAACAAAGGTGAAGCAGCAGGCACAGCAGTATTGCTTTAAGCAAACCTGAAGGTCACTTGTGATGGGAAAACATACCTATTTGGAGATCGTATATCCTCCTCCAAGCCTGTGGAAAAAGTGCAGACTACTGGAGATTGAAATTACTTGGAATAATGCTGTTTTATGTACAAGCATTATACAACATTTCTATGGTCAAAAGCTCC